GTACCCACCACCGCTGCACCAGTCTTGACACTGTTTATTGCAATTTCTTGTTTTTTGACGTTTTCAATAAATTCCTCAAGCCATTTCATAATTTCCTCTCGTGATTTTATCATCTTGCCCAACTGATCCAGAAATTTGGGTAACAATTTGGTGTCGAGTTCTCCGGGCATGTTTCAATTTTACTCACGACTTTTAAGCAACCTTATCTGAAACAGAAAAAAAGAAGCTTATATTACTTGAACGAATGGAATTTTTAAGGAAAATGTAACGTCGTAGGAAGAACAGGCAGTCAATTCCGAAATACTTTTTTTGAATTAGATTTTAAGACTAGATCGTAAATCTATTTACTTACCGTTTGTGCGGAAATCAGAGAGCTACGTACCAAAGTTCCCCTTAATCGTTACTCTATGTATGTAAGCTCGAACAGCTTAAGAACTTCTCTTAGCTTGGCTTAAGAACAATTCTTAGCTTGCCCTACAAAACAACCTGTGTACTTTTGTCCCCAAAAATGATTGTACTAGTTAGGATTCACACTGAGGAAACAGAGGACAACGAATAAAAAGAAAACACTTACCTGTTGTGACTGTTGGGGGCTTGAACTATCTGGTGATCCAAAAGTTAGTGTTGGTTTAAATAACCATTACACGGAAACGAAACCGAACGTCATTCATTGGCTCCATGTAAGCAGAAACCGGATTTGCGTAGGTGTTCTTGCTGAATTGTTTTCTTTCTTGGACAAATGTTAGGAGGTCGAGTACGGCTATGCAAATGGTCCTCAGTGTGATCACAATTAATATCGAACCGCAAACGATCTCGAAATTGAACCGAAAATGATAACGTTAAAAAAAAGTGTGTAATGAATCAGACTTTGCAAGGTTGCCCACTATGAGAATGTAGATGTTTAAGGAAACAGAGGCCATGGTGACAAACACATCACAGATAGAGAATATCTTAAGCACAAATCCGACGATATGCTATCGAACAGGGCACAAGAGAAACGTAACATACGTATACAGATCACAGCCTCAGGGTAGAATGTTAGAGACGCCATTCATTTTTACATTTCGTTGAATTTACATCCGTCGACAAAAAGGAAAAAAGAAAATAAAGTCAAGTTCACTTCGCAAAACCTAAGGTCATTAAAATAACAAATAAAAGCATGCATAAGCCCCGAGCCTTTCGAGGAACGTAATATCGAACAAGGAATAAAACAAAAATTTGAGGACCGGCACTTGTTCCTTTAAGGGTGCAGCGTTTTCCTTTGAAATCACGGAACTTTTAAGAGGTCTTTGAACTTTCTATCACAAGATTAAAAAACTGGAATAATTCGTGGAGAAGGTTAACATCTTATCAGAAATCATAAGTAAGACTGTGCATTATTTCATTCAAACTTTTTATTCGTGTCTGAATGCAGATAAGACAGTTTTGACGATTTCATTTAGAATCTATTGTTGAAACAAGTGCTATTGCTGCTAGTGAAGGGTTTATTGTGGCAACCGTTTTGTGCATGTATATCACTGATGTAGATTTTGGGTTTTCGTGTCTCTCTCAATGTCTGTTATGCCATAGGTTTTAAATTCGTGTAATCGCCCTTTACCTAATTACCGTACTTTCAATGTTAATGGAAATCTTGCTAAGATGTTGTAACAACCAAGACGTGTAGTTCAAAGTTCACAAAAGCTCCCCCGGACGACCTAAACTCCTCCAATCTTTAAAAACACTCATACTGAAAAAGTACCCAAAAAAGCGTCTTGTTCACGTTAAGGTCGTTGCCACACCACTCCGAGCACAATGACTGTCGTCACTGTAAGATTTAATGGACTTACACACATCAGTGTTTTCCTCGATCACCCGCGTGATATTCGCTCGCGAGTAAACCCTTACGACACGTGCTCGCGTAAAGCGACTTATTTGTCGCTCAAAACTGTATTAAGCCACCTTAAATAGGAACAGCATTCACTGTGTCGCCGTTACATGACGCCGCTCTTAACGCAGCGATTGTCATTGCTTAAAGATGTCATGGACTTGCACATGCCAGTTTTTCCTCGAACATCCCTGTGATATTTGCTTGCGTGTAAATGGTCACTTGCAAAGCAGCCACTTATAGGGAATTATAACCCACGCTTAATTTTCGCGCAATTCTATTGGCTACTTTACGTCACGTGGTGCAAAATTACTGGGCAGTTATCACGCAATGGCCTCCGCCTTGCGTCGATAATTGCCCTGCGACCGTTTCTGTCGAAAAGAAACAAAGCTAAAAAGAATAAATCCAGCTCTAGAATTTCACCTTTTCATCTTTACTATTTTTCGCGGAAGAAAAACAAACCCTTTTCGTGGAATCCGCTGATAATGATGTTAAAAAAAAAACAAACTGGTCGCCAATGCTGTCCCGATAAGTACAAAAAATAGGTACCCAATGGAGAATACAAAAGCAAAAACCGACACAACGTGGGATGATTCTTTGAAGGTGTACTATATTTCGGCTGGCCAAACCAGCCTTCTTCAGGTACAATGGAAGATTTTACATTGATACGTACCACCTTCAAAAAATCATCCTACGTTGTGTCGGTTTTTGCTTTTGTATTCTTCATGTTATATGTAAAGCCGATTAGATCACTATTGATCCAACGTATACCAGCAGGATCATCGTTCCCGTTGCTTGCTTGAACATTTTGTACCCAATGGGTACTTGTGTCTGCCGCAATAATCATTACAGTGAAGATACCATTTGGATAGTTAGTATTATATTTCTGTGAAATGCTCATTGCGAATCATTGAATGACTGTAAGGGCACTTTCTGGCCGATTTCTCAGCATAAGCTATGGCATTGGTGTGCTGAAATTTCAGTGGGAAGAGAATGTGTACAGTTTTCATAGCAGCGACTGCATTTTTAGCTACTATTAGCTGGGAAGCAAGAAATGAAACTGGCAATTGAACCATGTACTCTATTCACTGCATACATGTAACTTCACAATATAAACAACGTTCCCGCAGTCCGCCATGCTAAATAGGGTCAGTACAGCGCCGTGTATGCCTCATGTATGTGTCATGAAGTGTACCAATAGATGGTGGTTATATTTCGTGGTTACAAGCAGAATCTGTCTCACAGAATACCTACGCGTTCTCGTTCCCAGTTTCCATGGTCCACGCAAGGAACGCCCGGGACCATGACCCCCTTTTCGGCGATCAAGAACGGCTTGCATTTTATGACTCAGGCTTTCCTGTGGAATTCCGAGTAGAAATATCAATAATCGGTACCAAGAGATTATGATCCTTTGGTGGTTGTCAGTACACGATCGACAAAAGGGACTACCCTGATTTACAAAAGGGAGTTGATAAGCCGGTAATTCAATATTCGTTTTGATTTGAAGCTGAAGTTTTGAATGTCAGCTCTCATTCTGTGTTGTTTGGTTCACACTGTCAGGAACCCTGACGGTGTGTGACGCAAACATACGCAAGCATAAATCACAACTAGCGCCGTGTGAACACAAGAGCAAACCAGAAAGCAATTTACATAGTGTAGCACTTGCACTGGTTTCTGTGTGTGTGCGTGTGCTCGAGTTAAACTAATGCTTACACTTGCTGTGCTTGTTTCTTAAGTGTAAACCGGGAAAGCTAAACTATCAGTCTCCTGCCCCTCACGGTTAGGTTTTAACTAAGATGGCGTCTCTCCGTACCGTAGACCTCTAATGTACCCGAGTGTGCGTTGATTTGTGACCAGGCTTAAAGCGTGTCTTTTAGAGGAAGAAAAGAGAAAGAAAAGGCTAAGCCAGTTTATCTCAATATGGCCTGCCTTCAAAGACTGCAAGCCTGGATGTCAAGAAACAGTGCACAACAAAGTCGAGTTGCCCTGTTATCAGTTTTTTTTTTCTCAAAGAAAGAGCGGATTACTTTGGTCAAGGTCCCTTTTCCTTGCTCGACTTTTTCCCTTCTCCAGTTAGTTCGAGGGCATAACTGGCATAAACTGGCTGATTTTATATTTGATCACTCCGATGCTGCCGTGACCGTTTGCATTTTAACTGTAAGACAATTGGGAGGATGGTTGTCTCAGGGAATGCAACGGGAACATCTTGAAAATACGATTTACCAAGGTTCAATTGGCCATCCCCTTTACTGTTTCATTCACAGACACTGAGACATTTTTCTGACTGTTATTAACTTTAATGTACATCATATATTTTTAATTGTAAAATAAGTATTTGGCAGTTATCAATAACTACTTATTAACCAAGAGCGAGGTCTTTACGGGAAATCTCAAACCGAGACCTTGCCATATTGACCGAGCGATAGCGAGGTCAACATGGCAAGGCCGAGGCAAGACCGTGAAGACCGAACGTTCGAGATTAATAAGTTGTTTATTACATGGCTTTTTGCTTTGTTTTTGCTGGCCCGTAATCGGCCCGCGGGCATTACGGGAGAATAATACCCTAGCATCAGCCAATCAGAGCGCTAACCTCGTTCCCGGGGCTTTCCCGTTTAAAATTGGGCGGGGCGGGAAAAAACCCTGGGAACGAGGTTGTCAGAGCGGGGCTTATATCGGCTGCAAACGCAAGTCATATATTAAAAACGCACAATCTTTGTCACAATAATAACATAAAAATTCAATTTTTAACTATATTTCAAGGGATTGCGTGTCAATGCTGCAACTGTCCTTAGTTACCACTTTCCATACACTTCATTCACTCCTTTATTGTCAATACTTAAGGACAAAGTTAATTTAAATGAAGACTTGCGTGTTGTCAGATCTCCAGATCATATAAATTATGTTTAACCACTAAGACATTGATTATCGGGAAAGTGATTCATTCGTCAAGTCAAATATTAGTCTAAAGATTATGCGCTTAACGAAAGGAATCTTACCTGGGCAGAATATCATAGACTTCATACTATGTTTGAATAAAAACGTTTATCATTTTCTCTCCCGTAACAACTGTAATGACTGGCTTCGTTTAAAAACTTAAGCATTCATTACTCATTGCCTGCAATGACAAACAACTCCGTTCTTCCTCACGGCTCTTTTATTTGTGATAAATTTCAAGGTGATTAATAAACTCATCACGTGCATTTAAATTAAATAAAATTCGAACTAGATCGATAGATAGATAATCGTTATTAATAAACGATACAAACTAAATCCAAATACTTGTGGGGTACACTCAGTTTCAAATTGCGTGTTTTTTGTTGTGTCCGCCAGAGATGATCGCCGTCGACCCAAATGCCCCCCCCCCCCCTCCACTACTCCCCTGTCCCACCACCCCCTTTACTGGAATCTGAGTGTCCTGGTGGGGTCGCGCGGTAAAAACATAAAAATGCTAAAAATTCAATCGGAAAGCGAATTACAAAAATACATAAAAATCACTTCCACAGAATATGCATTACGCAATATGTTATGATTTTCAAATTAAAATTTGCAATCGTTAGACAGGTAAACCTTTTGTTGTTTCACAATGCACTTTTGTACTTAGGTGAGACGTCAAACAAAAAACCGTTCAATTTTCTTTGTCCATGTCTCATCAAAGCACTCTTCATTATTGTGCCACGCCGTTAGTTGACTTTTCAGGTAGAAGAACTGTTCATCAGACCACATCTCGCTGAGAGCCTGGACACTAGTATCCCACCGGTTGAGCCCGCTGCCCTCTTCTTCAGCGAAGTCATTCTCCTTCTTCACTGTAACCTTGCCTTTCATGGTGACCTTGGCTGTGTTTGGCTCACCTTCTTTGATTGTGAAGGTTTCAGTTCTAACGTCATCGTAGATAGTGTTTGTATCTTTCAGAAGAACACACCCAAGGTCTTTGGAAACCGACAGTTTGTACTCATCAGACAGTTGACAAATCTCTAGAGTCCTTTAAAAAAATATACCAAAAATTAGTTTAGCTTTCGTTTTTGACTTTCTATATATCGAGATCCACTTGGTTCTTTTCTGTTCACAGCGAGACCCCGCCTTACGACCACCCCGTTAATACGACCACCTCGTTATTACGGCCACTTTATTCTGGCCCAAAAAAAAGCTCAGTCAGTCATTTTCCTATTTAAAGAACCCCTTTAATACGACTACCCCGTTAATACGAACGATTTTCCATGGCCCGAAGGTGGGCGTATTAACGGGGTTCCACTGTAGCATCACTACAAAATCCATGGGAAATAAAGAGTGATAATCCCGGGAAAGCAAATCTTGATATATGCCATATTCATATTCTCGGTATTGAACTGGGACTAGCCAGCAACCAAGTCCAAAACATCACTTGTCAGACTCGCAATCCAGAGGTCCCGGGTTCGAGTCCCGCTCTGACCATTACCTGGATTTGTTTCTCGGTAGCCCCGAGTTTAAATCCTCGGCCACGCTTGGTCCAAGGGCGACAGTAGTCATTTTGAAAATTCTCCATCGTTTCAAATATCCTGGACTTGGAGTGATGTCATGTCTTCCGAATAAACGAAAACTTCATTCAGCAACTGTCT